AGATTGTGAGTCGAGCGCCTTATCCACCTGGCCATCAACACATTGTCTGTAGTAAGTAAATCGTTACCCTTTTATTATTATTATATAATTGTTATCGCTTATTTGTATTGATTCGATTTATAGCCAACAGATATGAAATTGCTCTCAATTATCAAGTTTTGAGTTATACGAAAAGTTTGTTAAAAATCCAAATTTTGAATAATAATTTGGATTTTGTTGTAGTGTTTTACGTCTCAGTTTTCCCTATGAGTAGGTAAAGTTGCATAATAAGTTTTTATTAATGATTTCATTTAAAATGTTCACACGCTTAAGTCTATTCCAAATATATTCCAACACACAGCAGTTATAAGACCGTAAAGACTGTCCGCATTATCTTTCTGGGAAAATGAGGAATGATGAACATAAGTTTACTCTGTAATGTACTATTCTGCGTGTAACTTTTAGATCCAAATGGAGTTTCAATATTGTGCGCCACATTTTAGCATCGGAACCAAACAGCCTTATCATTATTGTTTTAGTAATAACAGGAAAAAACCATTTAGACCATTTCAGACACTGTTATTTTTCCAACTACAAACTCAGCCTCTAATGGAAGAATCATTAAAAGCACTTTAGGAAATAAAAATGTAGACTTCATCAAGAGAATCTTAAAACAAGTCCATTTCTGTCTACTATCCTTATCGACTGAAAACTCGTGGCGAAGAAAGACATTAATTGTAGGTAATACATAAAGAAATACTAGCAACTTGCTTGTTCGCTCTCGCGTCTCTAATCCCCAAATTATCTTTAGCGCCCCACGTGGAAAGTAGTATTGTATCTAGCAACGCTTTATTGCGCAGGGGCGTATGCAGAAATCTATAATAAGGGCGCTACCTTTTGCGAAAAAGGAAATGGGTATCAAAGCGGTATTGGGGGATCGGGGTCGCGACCCATCGGAGATGGTCCAGTTTGATGGTATCTGATGCTGTTTTTCAACCTTTTAAATATGTTTGATAAATATATGAGTGCAGTTTAGGGGATGCGATCGAAACCTCTCCTCCTTTCTACGCGCGTATTACCTGCCTATACACTAATAAAGAGACCTCCGCCAAAAGGTTCTACCATACCTACCACACTAAATACGTGATCAGTTTAATTTGTTGCATTATTTGCTTGTAACCAGGGAAATTGTCACATGTTTACTGCGTGCGTCTATTCGTGGACACATACGTAGTATCATAAACAATGCATTCTTACTGTGTGAGTGTATTAGTGGACACAAATGTAGTATCA